ATGGAAAACGTCTTTATTCTTTTAAATATATTTGAAACATATTTTTAGAGGCATCAGATACTTATTGGAACTCGACAGGATTTCTTGCATGGCTTTACAATGAAAGTCCTGTAAAGGATACAGTTGTAAGTTTTATTGTTTTCTATGGATTATTGTTTCTAAACTAGAGGTATTATTTTGATTTTTCAAGGTTGTCAATGATCGATGGGGTAATGGAATTCCATGTCGACACGGTGGCTTTTACACATGTTCTGATCATTACAATCCAGGACATCTTGTTACACATAAATGGGAAAATTGTTTTACTGTATGTCATATACTTTGAACATAGATTATATTCTTACATTTAATACAGATTGACAAAGATTCATGGGGTTTTCGTCGTACAGCTAAACTTGATGATTATATTACCATTCAAGAATTACTAAAAGAATTGATTACTACTGTCAGGTTGTTATACTATTTAGCATAGAATATGTGTTATATGTTTTCATGTTTAGTACGGGTGGTAATGTATTGATTAACGTTGGTCCAACATCATTTGGAAAAATTGCACCAATATTTGAAGAACGTCTTCGACAAATGGGTTCATGGTTGAAAGTAAACGGTGAAGCTATTTATAGTAGTATTCCATGGAAATATCAAAATGATACAATTAATAGCAATGTTTGGTAAGTTTTTCTATTGAAAGAAATATTTGAAGATTTTTCAGTTTTTGTTTTACTTAATAGGTATACATCATCAAAAGATAAACAATATGTTTATGCATGTCTTCTTGTTTGGTCAAAAGATACAACTGAAATTATGCTAGGTGCACCAATTAGTTCAGGAAGTACACGTGTAACACTTCTTGGTTCAGATGTTGGTCCATTAAAATGGCATTCAATTATTTCAAGTGGTGGTATCATTATTGATGTGTCTAATATTAAAACCTATTCACTTGCTAGTGATTGGGCATGGGTATTCAAATTAGAAAATGTTAGTGGTAGTGAGTTAATCACTAAGAAGCGAAAAAAATATTATATTGATAATTAAATATTCCTTCATTAAATTGAAACTGTTGTCCGAGTTTTTTTTTGTGATATCTTCTTTTCCTTTTCTCTCGTTCTTTTTTCTTATACTTTATAATTCAATTATGTTCTGATTTATTTATTAACTTTCTGCTACTCACTTATGTAATTTTTATTTATACGTAAGAGTAAAAAAGTATTTAAACCTGCTATTAATTATCGTTAATAAAGCCAATTAATAAAATTATATTGAATAAATTAATACACGGTGATTCGACATTTACTTCACTAAAGGAAAAACCAATTAAGTATCAGTGTTGTATTTTGACCAAATGGTCTGATTATTTTATCAGTGATAAAGGAGTGTTAATAGTTTATATTCATGGAGAAATATCAACAAAAACACTGCTTTGAAGTATCATCTTTTACTTCGATAAAGAACTGTAACTTTTCACTTGCTCTGCAAATGCAATATTATTCTCTCTCTTGTTTCTTAAAATAAACTATAAATAATTTTTTTGATTGTTTCTTTAGACTATTTTCATGTGATCTGAAATTTATACAACAGATACATGTCTTGTTAATATTTGTTTTCTGAAAGTTTCAGTCATAAACAGTAGGAGTTTGTTGAGAAAACTGCAATATACTTTTCTCATAACTCATGAAGAGCTACAGTTCTTTCTTCAAGTCAAGGAGAGGCTACTAAACTGCGTTTTGGTCCATGTTTTCCTTATTAATATGATTTATGAATACGGCCTTTATCACTAATAAAAAACCAGCTCGTTTAGTTGAAATACAACAGAGATTTTCAGTTTTTTCTTTCAGTCAAGTGACTTTGAAGCCGCTCTGTATAATATCACATATTTGATAATCAAAAAAGTATCATAATCATTATATAACAATCATGATATATAATACTGTTACTTTAATAAAAAAAAATTAAGTTCCATGTACCCTTCAAATATGTTATGGTACACTGACTGCAATAATAATGATATATTCTATATGATCGATATGCGTAGGTTTATTTTATTTATAAACAAATTATTCTTTGAAAATCAGCTCCTAATTCCATTATGATGAATAATAACAAGTGTTTGAATTTAATGCACAAATACAATCTATTACATTTGTTGCAAAAAAAACATAACATTATAATTTGAAAAAAAAAACATTTCGCGATACTGTCTTAATTTAGAAATATCTAAAACATTATGCCCAACACCATTATCTATATCAATTTTATCTTATCTTCTATTGTCCTTGGTTATATCAGAAGCACAGTTATTAATATATATACTCGTTTCGGAGACACTCTAGTCTCATTTATGGTTGTTTCTTACGAATAAGCAAGATGCAAGTTTTTACAATATTAGCATATGTTACTGTTGTTTGCTGCTTTCTTTTGCCATTCAGTGAACAACAATATACACCAGATTGGAAATCCTTAGACTCACGTCCATTACCGGCATGGTATGATGAAAGCAAAATAGGTATCTTTATTCATTGGGGTGTCTTCAGTGTTCCATCGATCGAGTCCGAATGGTATGTTTTCGAAAACTCGTCTTCTATAAAACCACCCTATGTTGAATGTTTACCTTTCATCAATAACCGTGTATAAATTCTTTTTTGATTTTTATCGATATAGGATGTGGTGGGATTGGAAAGG